CTCCTGCCCTGGCTCCTGGCGCGCCCCCGGCCTCTGGATCCCCGGCTTCCTTCCTCCGCCCGTTTGCCCTGTTCTCTGTTCGGGGAAGAATATCCTCCCGGTTTCCCGAGAGGGTGCACGGGAAGTGGGGGGTCTTGGCCTGTTCCCATGGGACTCACATCTGCGCGTCAGGGTGGCCAGGTACAAAGGCTGGCGAGGTTGAGCCATTTCTTCCCAAGACGTGGGAGGTATATTTTCTTCTGGCCCCAGAACTCGGTGCCTTCCTGACTTCTGACCCCTTGCTTATTCGCTCTCTCTCCTCGCTCTCTCTCTCCATATCCCCTTTTCCCGTGCTCTGGGAGTTCCCAGCCACATGCCTTGACGTAGCCTCTTCCATCGTGTCCAGAGATCCCAACCTTTCGATTCTAGAAAATATTTATTGCTCCCCTCTCCCTAGTGTCTGGAACTCTTGTCATGTAGATGTTGGGCTTGTCTTTTGAGAGGCACGAGAGGTGGTGGTCAGGGGTCGGGGGGCTGTTCCTCTGCGTCCTGCTCCGGGACGTTGGTCTGTGCTTCCGCTGCCTCCTCTGCAAACACGGGGTCACAGTGCCTGCTCCAGGGCTGCTGCACGGGTCCCACGAGGTGAGGGTGTCATGAGAACAGCGCTCAGCCACAAGCCTCTGACTGCTGCATTACATACCCATTTCACAGGGGAGCTGCCATCAGCGTGTGGGTGCTTGTGCCCCCCCCCCCCCCCCCCCATTATGGAGGCCTGAGGTGTCTGGCCTGGTCTAAGCTCTGGACAGTACTGACCAGCATGGTAATGATCGCATTTTCTGTTTTCGAGCTACCTAGTTTGTTGTTATGCATTCTGGAAGATTTCAGCTTTAACTATTTTTATTGATTTCAGAGAGGAAAGGAGAGAGAGAGAGAGAGAGAGAGAGAGAGAGAGAGAAATATCAATGATGGGAGAGAATCATGGATCGGCTGCCTCCTGCACACTCCACACTGGGGATCGAGCCCACAACCGGGACATGTGCCCTGCCCCGGAATGGAACCGTGCCTGCCTGGTGCATGGGTCGATGCTCCACCACAGCCCCGCCGGCCGGGCTCAGCTGTATCTTTCAACCCTTCTATTGAACTGTTGGCTTTCCTCTCGCGTTTCATTTGTAAGCTCTCCTTCTCATTTGCTGAATGTCCTTCTTTATAGCCTCTTGTTGTTTCTGGATGCAACACCCTCTCCGGTGTCTCTGCGGATGTAATTTTAGCTTTTCTTCTTCTTCTTGCTTTATTGTCTCTGTTCCTTCCGAGTCCCTTTTCCTTCGTCTTTTTCCTCTTCCTCGGGTGTTGGTGATCCTGGGCTGCCTGGTTGCATTTACGAGGGAGACATTCTGAGCTGAGACCATGCATCTAGCCAGGTCACTTCCCCGGGCACCCCCGCCCCCCAGCTGTCAATCTTTTCTCCTGAGCTGGGAGCTGATGCAGAGGGGCTCTCCTCTCTGAGGACCCGAGTGGCACCTGGTGGGAAGGGCAGGGGTCTCACTCACTCCCCCACTTCCACAGCAGGGCCTGCCCCTGGCCAGCCCAGAGCTCCTCGTGCTCCTGCTGAGAGGGACAGAGGTTGGGGCCACCTCCTTCACCCACTGCGCTGTCACACAGGACGCCTTGGACACAACTGTAGTCCCCCCAACCCACCCACTGCCCACTGTCCCCCAGCTCCACAAGATCCCGCCTCCTGTCTTCATGGGTTCCTGCCTTTGTCGAATCCGACCCCCATCCTTTCAGAGGGGAGGAAGATGCGGGACGTATTCCGCCACGTTGAACTAGCCGCTGCCTCTGTTTCATGCTGAACTCTCCCAGGGCTGAGAAGGGGAAGAAGCTGTTGTGTCAGGGAGGCTGAAGTTGCTGGGCTCGCAGCCGTGGTTTCTTTAGTTAGAGTCTTGGTACTGGTGCTGCACGCGGCAAAAGGCCTGGGCAGCTCCAGCGAGGGAGGGGCACCTTGGGCCTTTAACAGTCAGCGGAGGGACGGGGGGGGGGGGGGGGGGGGGGGGGCTGCACATCATTGAGCTTACAACGCCATGGCCATCGCGGTAAGACGCATTCTGAGCGCGAGCTCACGGTTGGATTCCCCGTCAGGGCACAGGCCCAGTTGCAGGCTCCGTCCCCAGTGGGGGGCGCGGGCGCGCAGGAGGCAGCCCATCAGTGATTCTCTCATCACTGATGTTTCTATTTCTCTCTCCCTTCCTCTCTGAAATCAATTTAAAAAAATACAACGGGATGCAAAACTAAAAAAAAAAAAAAAATTCTTGAGGGGGGGGGGA